CGCCAAGCAGCTGTCACAAAGCTGCTGGGCATGCTCGATCACTGGCAGACCCCGCACCATGTCGTGCCGTGAGAGCATGCGGAGCGCGTCGAAGTTGAGATGCCCGAAGCGTTCGTGCCATCTCCAGGCTTGCTCCCCGGCATGCGCGGTGAGGCAGACCGGCTGGGTGGCATCGAGGGTGACCACGTACAGGCGGTTCCGGGCGCGCTCTGCACGGATAAGGAGCCGCTGCTGCTGGTCGCGCAGGTGCAGGACGCCATGCTCGATGAGGACCTGGCAGCCGTTTTCGTCGAGCTGGCCGAGACTGATGATGTTGTTGCGGAGGCGGGGTATGTAATACACATCAGTCAGGGCTCGATGCTCACCATTGCTGCACGCAAAGATGATCGTGCCGCGTCCTTGGATCTCCACGACGGATCCATCCCCGAACTTGACCGTGCCCGCGATGCCGGTGTCGAGCTCGGAGAACACGCCCTTGACGCCGATCATGTGGTTGCTGGCTCCGGTGTCGAGGAACCAGACATCGTCGGCTTGGGCCTCCCTGGAGAGGAAGACCTGATCATCGACCAGCTTCACGTCCGTGGGTGCGCCCATAGCCCGCCCATTCGTCGGGGCGTTGCCTTGCGCCGCCTGAACCGCGTCCGGCTGCTGCACCGTGGCCATCAGCAGTGTGGGTCCCCGCTCGTGGAGGGTGCGGGCCCTCGCCAGCAGAAGCCCCGCGTCGTCGTCGTCAATCCTGGCAAGGTTCACCCTCGGTTGGAGCTGTGGTTGGGCCGTCGGTGGCTGCGCGGGCGCTGGCTGGCCCTATCCCTTTCGCTCCCGTCGTGGTTCCTTGCAGTCCCTGGAGAAATGCCCATGCTTGTTACAGTTGTAGCATTTCACCTTCGTCATGTCGCGCCCCGGGCGCTGTCCACCGCCGCCGCCCTGCGGCTTGCCCTGACGCTGACCGCCGCCAGATGAGCTTTGTCCCTGCTCCAGGTGGCCCTTTCGGGCATTCCACTCCTGTTCTGTGAGCAGGAGCTGCCCGCCGTGGCCTTTCGCGTCGACGCCGTAGCGTTCTTCGGTGGAGCGGAGGCGGCCGATGAGCTCCTCCACCGTCAGGTTCCTGAGGTCGAGGAGGGTCTCGATGGCGCAGGCGATCTGCGTGTACCGGGCCGGCACGACGCGCAGGAACTTCTGCACCACACGCACCTCCTCCACGTTGTCGCCCAACGACCGAAGATTGTTTGACGAGGGTGGTGATGCGCATGGCGAAGCCGTCCAGGGTTTCTCCGTCCCTGAATGTGATCTGCTCGAAATCAGACCAGAGACGCTGCGCCGTGGCCTCTCGGACGCGGGTCACGCCCATCCACATCGTGCGCACAGCCTCCCAGGCCTCCTAGGCTGAGTTCTTGACGGCGAGAACGCCGTGCATCTCCGAGGGCACAGCCCAGATCAACGCGGCGACACTACAAGAAATATGTCAACTTATGACCTTCTGTCAGTGACCCTCGAAGAATTGGTCATAAATCTATGACCATTTTAGACCAATTGGTCAAAAGCTGTTCAGGGGGCTCCAAACCCTGAACCATTGCGACCATTTTGGTCAGAAAGGTCGTAATTTCCTTACACGAAATGGTCACAAAGCAAACAGTGCTAGTCCGTTGCCTTATTTCTAGCTAATCATGACCAATATAGATGGTCGTAGCCTTGTAGATTGTGGTGGGTTGTGATGACTAGGCGCCATCTCATCAGTTTTGCCTATGTGTCATGTCCATGTGGCAGTTTTTGCCCTAGGTTGTGAAGCAACCTATATTTCTATCATTCCCAAAATTCCCAAAAAAATCTCATAAATTCTTTGGGTCATATCTTCATCAAATATGTAAAAATCCCTCCTTGCCTAGTTCAAAACTAATTCAATAATATTCATTTTCCTATTATGTTCACAACAACACTTTATGAAGGAAGTGCTACTTATATATTCTTGATTGCCCTAGGAATTTTTGGGCACTCTTTCCTATCCAAATCGTTACCGCATGACAAAATTCAGCTCCATTTGCCTAGCAAATCTTCCTCGGAAAATTTCCAAAGTTTTTGTCCACCTAAAAGCATTGTGAAGGAAGTACCTTTTTTATATCTCTAAATGACATGAAATCTATACAGTTCCTTCATATGCCCAAATTATCACCCTCATCCAAATTGCAGCTCAGTCAAATCATCTATGTGAGCCCAGGTTCAATTTATATTTTATGGCCAAATTGGCACGTTGCAAAGCAAGTATTATATAGACCCCTCCTATTACCCTCAAACTTTTCGGGCACTCTTTCGTACCCAAATTATTGCCACATGATAATATTTAGCTCAATTTTCCTAGTAAATCTTTCTCGGAAAATTTCCAAAGTTTCTACCTCGAGAGAAGCTTTGTGAAGTAAGTACTAGCTAGGCTTACCCAAATTATCTGAAAATTTACCAGCGCATGACCATACATAAGTAACTTACCTACACCAATTTTGAGCTCATTTCATTCATGCAATCTCTCTCACCAGTTTTCCCAAGTTTTTGTCCATAGAAGAGCATTGTGAAGGAAGTACCACTTTGGCATGTCCAAAGGGTATCCATTTTCTACAGTGCTTTCCTATGCCCAAATAACCATCCTCCACCAAATTCCAGCTCAATCCATTCATTATTTTGAGCCCAGCTTCAACATTCATATTTTTGTCCAGCGTGGTACTTTGCAAAGCAAGTACCACCTAGGATCCTCCTTTTGATCTAAAAATTTGTGAAGACATTCTCCTTAGTAGATGATCATCCTCAGCCAAAACTCACGCCCATTGGCCATGTGCATTTTCCGTACCGCTAATCAAACACTTGGCTGCTTATTCATGTTTGAGCATCGATCGGTCTCCTCGTGAGAATCTTATGTTGTGATTTTCTTCCTAGCACCTACCTGGGGAGTGCCCAACCCACTAGACATGCCTAGGCCACCCAGAACTGATGGAAACGCCACGGTCACGCGGTGACCACGCGGCGGGCATGCGACCTTACGCGCTCTAGAGTTGGGGCCCTCGGCCACCGTCCAAACCTCGATGTCTCTCCATCAAACCATGTATTTCTAATTAAATAGATACTTATTTACCTAGAAATGGATTTTGAAAAAAAATAAAGAGCAAACTATGACGCAGCTGCAGTTCAAATTTGACCCGCTTCCAACTGAATCGACGGGAATTTGTCTTTTTCACCAGAGGTGGATCAAAAAATTTGACACCCAACCGTTTTGTCAATTGTGCATTAAATATGGCCTAGTATTTTAGAAAATTGATTTGTTCCAATTTTGCAACAAATATATGGTAGGCCTTTCACAAAAAAAACTCATTTCAGGCACTCGGAAAATGGAAAATGGTTTTTTCGTCCAAAGAAAATGAAAACTTCCTTAGGCAACATTGTTTGCCATTCCAATATGCACCCTTGTGCACAATAGGAGATCATTTGAACAAACTATGCCATGAATATGGGCATAGGATTGGTCATTTGGCTTGAAAGTCATGAATCTTCACGCATGATAGCTTATTTCTGATAACACTTTTTTAAAAGAATTGCCATATTACAAGTTTATTATTTTTAATGGTAACTTGGTCATATATAATGACACAATGCGAAGGTTTTCTAATTTTTTGATTTTTTTGAATTTTTTATGCCCGTTTCAAAATGCGGTCAAAACGGCGGGAATGACCGTTCCTAGCTAGTGGTTGAATCTTGGAATTTTTTTGGTGTTTCTATGATTAAATAGATACTTATGTACCTAGAAATGATTTTTAGAAAAAATAAAGAGCAAACTACAAGGCAGCTACAGTTCAAATTTGACCCACTTCCAGCTGAATCGGCGGAAGTTTGCCTTTTTCATCAGAGGTGGATCAAAACTTTTGACACCCAACCATTTGGTCAATTGTGCATTAAATATGTCCTAGTATTTTATAAAATTGATTTGGTCCAATTTTGCAACAATTATTTGTGAGGTCCTTCACAAAAAACCCTCCTTTTGGGCACTCGAAAAAATGGAAAATGGTTTTTTCGTTCAAAGAAAATGAAAACTTACTTAGGCAACATTATTTGTCATTCCAATATGCACCCTTGTGCACAATAGGAGATCATTTTTTGAATTTTTCATGTGAAAAAGTAGAAAAAAAGAATGCTCAGGGATTCTTTTTTGAAACATAAATTGTCTTTTTGATGAGAGGTGAATCAAAAGCATTTTACATTTTAAGATTTGGTCAATTGTACATAAAATGTTGTCTTATAGTTTTGGAAAATGGTGTGGTGCCATCTTGAAAGAAATATTTGGTAGATTCTTCACAAAAAAAGAATTTTTTCACTCCGAAAATAGAAAATGATTTTTCCCCTAAAAACTCATTTCTCATAACACTTTTAAAAGATATTTGTCTTATTCCAATTCCAAGTTTGTTAGTTTTCCTAAAAAACTAGGTCACATTTGCTGACACAATGAGAATGTTTTTATTTTTTTGAATTCTCATATCATAAAACTATTTATATGATTCAACATCTTATTTTTAATTGATTAAGACCAATTTAGATGGTCATAACGTGTACTGGGCTCTGATTGGTCCATGAGCATGTCACACGAATCGTGGCTTCAGCGCCGTCGGATGCTCCTCTCCAGATCCAGATCCGACGGCAGCCCTTTCTCCCTCACCCCCCTCTTTGTCTGAAAAAAAGGAAACTCCCTCCCGCACGCGAACCCTAGCGTCAGCTCCCTCTCCAGATCCAGATCCGCCACCCCTCTCCCTCTCCCCTCGCCGCCTCGCCTCCCCTCTCCCTCTCCCCTCG